CCATATTTTTTTTTTTTTTTTGGTTTTGCTATTTACAGCGTTTTGACTATAGAGAGTAGAAAGAGAAAGGAGCCTCATCACCTTGTATTCAAGTGTCATTTTCTCAATAAACAGTGGTCTCTAGTAACACTCAGTCTCATACCCCTTTCTACTTTTCTCATTCCATAAAGCCCTTCCACTTGATTCCTTTCTTTGATTTACTAAACTGATTTTTGGTTCTTTCCTTTTTTTTTCTTTCCATCGTTTTCACAAACACCATTTTCCTTCTTCTTTCTTGTTGTTCTTCTTCTCCTTTTTTTTCTCTCCTTCTTTATCAAACTTGTCCACTTAAAAGAAGAATAAAAGAGCTTAAATCTTTGCCCTCTTTTTTTCACTTACACTTAGCTTTTTTACATTCTCCAAATAGCTCTTTATCTCTCACTTTTCCAACCTAAATCTATCATCAAGAATCAAACTTGAAGTTTGTTCTTCTTTCTTTTCTCCTTTTCACATCTCTTTCTTTTCTTTTACTTCATCAAGTGTGCAACTTTTACTCTATTTTTCATCAATTTGGAGGTTTTTTTGGGGTTAACAAACAAGAAAAAGCCAAAGTCACCATAATCTTGAAGTCTCTATTATTTCAAAGATTTTATCCACAAAAATGCCCATAGAAGGGGTTTTTGTTCAAACTCCATCTTCTTCAAATCCAATACCTGATCTTTCTCTCCATATTAGCCCTCCAAATAGTTCCTCTTCTCCATCTTCAAAGCCAACAAATTGTCTTACTGAGCTTTCTTTAGCTCATCCCACTACCATTAATGAAGAAAAAAACTTGTTTAATAGTGAAAATAAGACTTTTCCAAGAAACCCTTTACCCCATCAAAGCCAAAACAACCATTTGCTTCAACCAAATAGCCAAATGAGTAATATAAATCATGGGGTTTCTTTATTAGATGTTTCTTCAGAAAGTACTTTGACGAGACCTATAAAGGGTATTCCAATTTATCATCAAAATTATTCTTTCCCTAATTTCTTGGAAAAAGATCCAAAGAGATTTGGATCTCTTTTTTCACCATATAATTTCAATGGAGGTTCTGATCATTTATCAAATGCTTACCGAATACCAATGGCTAATAGATTTCAACATCACCATAGCCAATATGGAGTTGGATTAGGTCATTCAAATGAAACTTCTTCTCATAGCTTTATGAGATCAAGATTTTTACCAAAATTTCCAGGAAAAAGAAGTATGAGAGCGCCAAGAATGAGATGGACTACTTCACTTCATGCTCGGTTTGTTCATGCTGTGGAACTTCTTGGTGGCCATGAAAGTAAATCCCAATTCTTACTTATGTTCATCTCCTAGTTCGAGTTTTTTCTTTTTAAGATTTCATTTTTAGGGATTTTTTTTGATTTTTTGAATACAAAATATTGCCCTACTAAGATTTTCAGAAAATATTAACGGTACTTTCAGTGAGAATTGAACGCACACCTATTTTATATATGATGAACCCATATCAGTGTCCCTAGATTATAAGCCTTGAAATTGTTACTTTCTGCTCATCCCTTAGTTTGAGTATTTTTACAAATAATAGTAAATCCGGTGGAATTTCACAAGTGAAGTCTGGGCAGAATAGTATATAGACAGACGTTACCCCTATCCTGAGAACTTAGACGGGTTATTTCTGATAGACTAGTTTGAGTTTTTTCTTTTCTTTTTCATGTTCATTTTTTTGGTGATTTGATTTTTTGAGTACATAATGTCTTATTAGCTGGGAATAATAATAAAGGTCTAATATTGGATTTTCTTGATTTTTAGGGGCTACACCAAAATCAGTGTTGGAGCTAATGGATGTCAAAGATCTTACTCTAGCTCATGTCAAAAGCCATTTACAGGTAAAGCAAAATGAAAACTTCAACATAAACAAAGGAAAAAAAAAAATGAAAAACTCAGTTTCAATATTTTTCTCTTTTCTACTATGTCTTTTTCCTGTGGGTGAATTCTTCCTCCGGCACAATAGCCGATGAATGCAGTGAATGACTGAATGAATGAATTAAAGAAAAGAAGTCTGATGTTTCTGATAGTATAGCAGAGATAAACAAAGAAAACAAAGAGAGAGAAAAAGAAAACACTTGGAAATTAGAGATCCTACTGTAGTAAGAATGATATATAGGAGAGGGTACTGGGGTTGTAACAGACAAAAGTAAGTCATCATTATTCAATAATAATAACACAGCTAGCTGCTATATTACTTACTTCTTCTACCTTATCAAAAACATCAACCTCGTGATTAATGAATCAATTTGTAAGAAACATTTGACTTAGAAATTTTCCCCATGACTCAACTTTCTCACTCTTCTTTCTTTTTCTTTTTCTTTTTCTTTTGCAACATTATTCCAAGAAAATAGTCTATGTGAGATTTATGTGAAAAGGCTGGATACCTCAATGCACAAAGTACTTCGTGTTCATATGGGATTCAGGAAAAGATCACACTTAGAGGAGTATGATGTAGATAGCTTAATCTAATGCAAACATTAGCAGCGGCGTCCACAGCTTGAACCGATGACCAATAAGTCATACAAAAATAACTTTACTGTTGCTCTAATGCTCCCTTTCTAGGTGATAAGTATGTGTAATGGGAAATTGATTTTTATATATCGAAGGATTTAAGTAATATAGACTTATAGTGTAAAAATTTCTACACTATCAACCAGTGCGTATTCAGTGTAAAAGTTATGCATTCAACTGAACCCATAACTTTTACGCATACCATATATTTTTACTCAAAAAATTATTAAATATGCACTGATAATAAAATTTGAAGCCATTAAATTAGATTTAAATATAATAGAATTGCGAATCTGAACCTATAAAATTCAAATCCTAGATCCATTTCTGTTATCAACGTAATTTAAGTTGTTATAACAAGTCATTTACTCTATCTCCTATGTTAACAGATTATGTTTATTATAAACTGTTAATTCTTTTAGAAGGTAACTACTTCAAAAATATTGCTATCAGTGCAGTGCAAATAACTTATACTTGTTGTAGAATGGTATTAAACTTTCTTTCTTTTTCTTTTGCAACATTTTGTTTAACAATATAGTCTATATGTTAGAGAAAGATATGAGTGTAATGGTTAATTAAAATCTTTCACTATTTGTTAAATAATTGTCTCAAATTCTAAAATGCTTTTCCAATGCAGATGTATCGCACTGTTAAAACCACTGACAAACCTGCAGCTTCCTCAGGTAATTAATTAATCTTGCTCTAGACTTCTGTTTTTGTATAATTTCCTGCTAATGATTAACCTTAACACCTTATTATTGAGACCATTTACACCATAACAATTACAAAGAATCAATCAATAAAAATTAAAGTGTTGGCTTCTGTTGTACATTATATTGATATTTATGTATTAGAGTTTGATTTATGTTATTTTAATATTTTCTTGAAGGGCAATCAGATGGGTCAAGTGAAGAAGATCTCTTAAAAATAGACAGGATTTTGGATCAGAGAGGACCATCTGATGGATTTGATGATCCTTCAACTACAACTCCTACTCTTTGGAGTAATTCTTCAAGGTACAACACATAAATATAAACCTTTTAATATTAGAAAAAATTATTTATTACATGACCATATCACTTGTAGGTAATTATGTGTGAATCTCTATGATAAACAATATTTGACAATTAAAATGGTGATTAACCTGTGATATTATAGGTTAAACTATATTGTTCGTGTCAATAAATCTTTACGCATAACATTACCTAAAAATAATTATAGGTGGTTCCGTAAAAAGTATCAATTTGTAATCATGAAAATAGAGAAATAATTATTTAATAGAACTAAGTAAAAGTGAACTGATAAAACGTCGTAAGTGGATAGTAGTTAAACTCTAACTTAAATATCCTTTCTTTTATTCCTTCTGTTATTGTCATGTGACCAGGACGTCAGGGTTCTAGCCGTGGAAACAGCCTCTTGCAGAAATGCAGGGTAAGGCTGCATACGATAGATCCTTGTGGTCCGGCCCTTCCCTGGATCCCGCATATAGCGGGAGCTTAGTGCATCAGGCTGCCCTTTTATTCGTTTATTCCTTCTACTCTTCTTCATCAAAAAAGGGTAGCTCGGTATGCAAGGTAACCCGCGTTCACATAGTATTTAGGAAAAAGTCGCATCTCAAGATGTATAATATAAGACAAACTATATACCCTAATATAAGTATTAGTGACTACTTTTATGGCTCGAAATAGTATCACTCTTCTTCATCACAAATACTAATTAATACTTGTAAATATTTTATAAGTAGCTGAAAAATGAGCTAAATATGTCACACCTACAACTTTTGTAGTAATGATGGAGTGATGAATAGAATTTGATAAAGAGGGTAACAGGTTTCCTTTTACTTTTGCATGGACTGAATCTTAGAAATGCAAACCCACGTACATATATCATTTTCTAAAGAATATATAAAAGAGTTCTTGTGACAGCTTTTACTTTATGTTCTGCTTCATTTTCCTCTTCTTTTCTTCTTTTTTGATTATCTTATAGTACTACACTCTATTCTTTAATTGGTTTTTTCTTTTTCACCTGAAGCATATAAAAAGAAAGATAGTATTCAAATAATAGTAGTATTTAATTACTGCAACTAGCACTTTATCTTTTCTTTTTCTTTCTCTTTGCATTTTGGAATTATATTTAATTTAATTTAATAGACAAACCCTTTTTACTTTACTTTGTTGTTATTCTCTTCACGAGGAGACTTTTACAGATAGGTCCAAAAAAAGACCTGTATCTTGACTTAAGTGCTCTCCCTTTCTGAAAATAATAATACATAATAATATTTGTTTAAAGTTTGCATGGTGTTCGTGTAGGCGTGTGTTGTCTTTTCTGTGTGTGTTGTTTAATATATGTATTAAAAAACAATCATATCTTGTTAAAATGCAGCTTCTACGTACGTATTAGGAAAACTGTTTCTAGAAATTGTCATTTTCCTTAAATTTTATTCTCTTGGTGAATTCCTTAATTAAACGTGTTCCTAATTCTTCTTTCAAAGCAAGTATACATGGTTCAGAAAATCCACATAAATATGAAAGAATCTGAATATTCAACCTAAAGTCTTAAGGTAATACGTGCATTGGCACAAGATATTATAAACCCCTTTAAAAATTCTTATACAACAAATGAGGAGCAAGTGTAATCTCTAACGCCCTTCTGTGTAATAAGTCCAATTCTAGGTTTTACACGAGGATTAGAATTCTTTTTAAAAAAAATTCCTTTGTCTTTTCTTTTTCTTTTTGAGAGAAAGAAAAAGACTGAAGATGAAAACATGAAAAAAAATGATGTGTATCATACTGTGGATCACATATGTATCATATTTGTATCAAATGTGTATCATATGTATATCCATGTATACATGTGTGTGTGATAAATGTGTGATACATGTGTTGCAGAAACAGAATTTGAACTCGATTTTAACTACGAATTTTGATACTAAATCAGTCCAAATCACCTCCACTCTTCCTCAAAATTTGTATATTGACTCATCTATATGTTTTCAATGAATTTCAACCATATCCATTAAAAATATCCTTTTTTGCATAGATTTTCGGAATCTTGTATATATATTTTTTTTGTATTTCATCACCTTTTTAATTGAATACATAAACACAAGTTTTCACTCTCCCGTGGTAGTATGGGAGGTTTGACATTAACCGTAACTTATTTTAATATAACCAGCAAAAAAGTATAAAGGAAGGAAACCTTACTTCTAATCCTAATTAACGGTAGCTAAACTAGTCAATTGTCTTATTAAATATGGTATGTATAACTAGTCAACCAAAGAAATAGTGGGCTTGGGTTAGTAGTATAACTTACACCTAAGATAGGAGGACTACTCCTATTTACAACTGGTCCTATCTACATTGTACAACCATAACTCTATATAACAACATTATATTACTGTATACCAGTCATTCACTACGAAAATTAATTTTTTTATGAAACTAATTTTCATGTTACGTTATAATATATATGCTTTGTAACAATATTTTGCAATAACAACCAAAAAGTCCGTAATAAATAAAGTTGTTGTATAGAAGTTTGATTGTAGATTACTTTCGCGTTTCATTAATAAGGTTATCGACATATATAACACAAGCTGAAAAGTTTATTTTCTACTTGAATTTTCAGCAGTAGAGAAAGATGGTCACAAGCTAACTTGAATGAAGCGAATGGCCTCAGATCAACCTCTTTTCCATCTCAACAAAGATCCAGCCACAATATAGAGGTACGAAGTCCCTCATTCTTTTCTCATTCTATACCGTATAAGTGTCAAATCTATTACTCCCTCAGTTTCAAGTTAAATGACATTTTTCGCTTATTGAGAATCAGAAGTTTGACCAACATTTAATGTTTTTTAGTTATATAAATATGAGAAAAATTGCAATTTATAGTACTCTTCGTATAGTTTTTGAATTTCTGAATTTTAATTTTAAAATACTAAGTTGAACTAATTCAGTTTCGCTTTAAATTTTAGTCAAATTGATTCTCGATAAGCAAAATGTATAATCTTAATTGAAACATAGGGACTAATATAGTTATGATTTATCTATGACCCTAGAAAGCAGTATTTTTTTCCCATATAATTCCGGAATTATGTCAACTTAATTAATTTACATGGAAGCACTATCAAATGTTAGTTTTTTTTAGCCCAAACTGTAATTATTTAATCTAAATTTCAGAAACCACTCAATATTAAACGAGACAATTAAAATCAAGGAGCAATCTTTACAAGATTCTTAGTTATTTTTGCAAAGACTATAGCGTATTGGATCTAGTCTATCAAATGAGACTTCCCCGTTTCTCCCACATGTGTCCCACAGGCTGGAGTTTTGATTTAATAAACTCCGCCACTACGTGGAGGTTTTATTTAAACCGTAGGAATGAGGAGGGTAGCATAAAAAAATATTTTTTATTCTTTAACCAAATACTATAAAATATTTTTCGGAAAAAGTTTTCTACTCACCAACCAAACAAGAAAAAATAAGTAATAAAACCACTCATTTTCCATAAAATTATTTTCTAGGAAAACATTTTCCTTCGTACCAAACACACCCTAAATGTGTGAAGATATTATATTGCAGGAATGTGAATATTCAAGGCCAGTGAGCTATGTAGGTTGCAGTTTGGATCAGAGAAATCCTAGCTTGGAGTTCACTTTAGGAAGACCAGATTGGGTAGAAAAAGAGCATGATTGAAGTGCATCAACCCTTCAATTAATTTTGTTTTTTGTTTTGTTTTTGGCTAATAGCTGATTCTTCTGGTCTTCTTCTTCTTCTTCTTCTTCTTCTTCTTCTTCTTCTTCTTCTTCTTCTTCTTCTTCTTCTTCTTCTATTTTTTGTAATTTGAGATGAAAAGAGATGGTATCAAGTTTGAAATATTAAGAGTTATTGGATAAAAAAGAAAAGCAAAAAAGGAATGGTTTTCACATGCAGCTTCAACTAGGGGCTCTTTCGTAGCTCATCTCCCATGCATATATAATTTCTTTTTGAGTTTTGTCAATTTGACTTTTATTTTTTCTGTTTTTTGTTTGTTGTTCATTTTTTCTTGTTTGAATCTCTTGGGTTGGCTATGAGTTTGCAATGTAAAAGTTGTTAGAAGATTGTACTGAATGTAGTAAGGACACATTCAAAATATTAGTCCAAAAGCAAACAAATTAGAGCAAATTACACATTTGGCCAAATCAACCAAAAATAATTATATATACTAGTCAGATATATAAAAAAAAATGTATATTATATGTATATATTTTATATATATATATAATATACATTTTGCCTGTTATTATTTTTTAGGGTGACTATACTATGTAGGTTTTCCAACAAAAAAGTTAAATTGTGATGTATCACTCAAGATCCAACAAGTTATTTTAGTTGTAAGTTAGGAGTAGAAACATCAAAATTAGAGAATCTAGTACACAATAAGTAGAAGCAGAAGAGGAAGTAATTAATGTCTTGTGTATTTAGCTGAGCTAGCTTGACAAAATCTCGAGGAATTGGATAAAAACCCTCTTTCCGTCTGTTCACTTGAGTTCAAAATAGATTATTGTATAGTATTTCTTATTTATTCGTTCAGTTAGTTTTCTGCTAAATGCAGCTACGAGGCATAGAGGGAAAAGTAATAAATTTTGGTAATAAAAATCTAACTAATTACCAAAAATATATTGACAAAAAAAAAATTGGTTTCTTTATGATAAGCTCAATTTTGGCCAAATCAAGATAAGGCAAAAAAAATAATTTATAAAAGTATATTAATATGATGGATACAAGGAAAAAAAATTTAAAAGTAACTTGGACCGGGTCTCACGACTATCTCGGGCCGGGAGAACAAATCACCAATTTAGGGTAGAAATGCGTGAGATAGCTACTTTTTAATATGGTATTTAATTTTTATCCAATATTTTTAATGCTGAGTAAAAATAATCACTATTCTATTAAATTAATACGAAAAGATATTTTTACCCCTTCTTCATGAGTGTTGTGTAAATGTTAAGGATATCATGTCCTTAATATTTACACAACACACATGAAGTTAAGGACGACATGTCTTTAACATTTACACTGCACATAAAGTTAAGGACATGATGTCCTAAAGTTCAACAATAGAAGGTGCAAATACATGACACTTTGTCCTTAATATTTACACAACATTCATGAAGTTAAGGACATCATGTCCTTAATATTTACACGACACTCATAAAGTTAAGGACATTATATTCTTAACATTTACATTGTACACATGAAGTTAAGGACATCATGTCCTTAGTATTTACACTACACATAGGAAGTTAAGGATATGAGGTCCTAAAGCTTAACAACAGAAGGTGCAAATACAAGTTAAGGACATTATGTCCTTATCATTTACACTGCACACATGAAGTTAAAGACGCCATGTCCTTAACATTTACACTGCACATATGAAGTTAAGGACATAACATCCTAAAGTTTCACAACGGAAGGTGCAAATACAGGACACTTTGTCCTTAATATTTACACTGCATTCATGAAGTTAAGGACACCATGTTCTTAATATTTACATCGCAATCATGTCCAGCACAGGGATATTTTTGTCCGAGCGGGCAAAAATTTATTAAGAACTGGCTAAAGAGTAAATACATTTTAAACAATGGCTAAAGAGTAAAGACATCTCTAATTAGTGGCTAACTGTGCACTTCCCCCAATTTAGTCCTTCTGGCCCAAATTTCGTGCATACAAGCCCAACTGCTCTACTGTTTCTTTGCTAGGGAGATTTGGGGAATCTTATAGAAATGTCCCAAAAAAGTCTCAACTTACCAACCTCTAGCCATTCATTATAGATTTACCAAAACTAGTTAAACACATAGAAAAATTGAAAACCCAAAGAAATAAGGTTCTTTCTTTCCAAGAATCATCCACAAAAATCTTCTTCCATATTTTTAAGAGTGATTAGCAACATTAGATGCAAGACNAATCTAAGAAAAAAAGACTTTTTTCAATGGGTATGGTTGAGATTCACTAAAAACATATAGATGAGTCAATATACAAAATTTGAGGAAGATTGGAGGTGATTTGGACTGATTTTGTATCAAAATTCGTAGTGAAAATTGAGTTCAAAAAATTCTTCTGCGACACATGTATCACGCATGTATATATGGATATACATGTGATGTGACATTTGATACAAATATAATACATAAGTGATACACCTATTATTTTTTTTTATTTTCATCTTCTACTTCAAATTTTCAATTCAAACCACCTCAAAACTTCACCAAATCATTTTAAAAATTGAGATTCAAGCTCCTTAAAATGTACCCAATCTATTCTAATAACACCCGCTCAAAAGAAATAGACTTTGGACATGAGAAGCACGAACCAACAGAATAATACAATTCCATCAAAAACTGCAATTGAAGAAGTTGTGCAGAAAGCTCATTGTGATACAAGATGTTGCAAAACACACAAAACGGAGACCTGATCTCCAGCAAGCCAGGATAGGGAAAGGACTCAATAAAACATCAAACTGCAAAAATTTAATCCTTTTTTTTTTGCTACAAATAGCTAATTAACTAATATTGGTAATATTTGGCTAATATTAGTAATATTTTATGAATTGATCAATTTTTGTAATAAGCTACTTATAAATAGACATAGCTGGTATTTTCCCGGAGATTTGTACTTTGGGAATTTTAAGTTTGTTAAGAAAAGTTTCGTAAAGATAGTCCGAAAATAGATTTTTGAATTTTTTCGTTCATATACAATATTTGAAACTTATTTATCAAAATTGACCTAGTTTGTATATTACCCCCTAAATAAGGATTGCTTACAATTTATATACAATATATTATTAGTGCCTTAAATTAGGAAATTCAGTTACACCATTTTCCTTTTTTCTCTCTTCTCCTTTTTCCCTATTCTCCTCCACCTCTCTCCATATATAATCCATTATTAGTGCCTTAAACGAGATTTTATTACACAATCAATTTCAATTTTATGGGATTCAGTTACAAAAGTTTAATGGGATACTTCGTATCTTCTTCAAAGCAAAAATCATGAAGCCACTAAGTAAAAGTGCTTTCTTTGTGCCGTTAATTGTCGAATTGTCTTGCGCGAGAATTACATCAAATATTCACATAAATATTTACAGATCACCTAACTACTTCATGTTTTTTAAACACAAGGCCTTACACTAATGTCAAAATACCTATGCCTTGACTACTCAATCTTTGTTAATTCAAGATAATCTTTGCTAATTTTGAATCCATTTTGAGTTCATGAATTTATTTTGTTTTTCACTTTGGACTAATGATGTTCATATACAGATTTTAGAGAAAAGTAAACAACTAATTATACAGTATACAACTTAATTATAACTTATATACAACTTTCATACATCATTCTTACCCAGTTAAATACAACGACAATATCATACAACTTAAATACAAATTTCATACAATATGTATTTGTATATGATTTGTATATATTTTGTATGTGGTGTGTTCTACTTCCTATCTGAAATTTCAATCAAAACTTCATTTTTTAATACAATTTTGATACATATAAATAATTTTATGCAAAAAGATAGTATTTATAACTTAAATACAAATTTCACACAACGATTCATATATTATACAATTATTTTTGAACTTTCATACAACATTCAAATAAATTAATATATAAATACAACATAATACAATTTAAATACAAATTGAATACATCTTTAATACAAATTCGTAACTATTGTATGTCATGTGTTCAGCCAAAATCAAGTCTAATCTTCACCGAACAAGAATTTTTTCAATTGTTTGCAACAACATCCAATCCAAACAAACAATAATTTTTGAAAATCCAAATTCGAATTCAAAGTTTTGGATCTTTATGGCTATCAATGGCGGAGAATCAAATACCTTCAAAATTTGTTGATTGTTTCAATTCAAACACCAATTGTGCAACATAAAAAGAAATTACTAAGTTAAAACTCTATATTATAACAAGGCACAATAGCCTAAATGACACTTATAGTTGTGCCACTTTGTCATGCCGGTCCCCAAACTTAGCATTTTGCCAATTGAACACTTATACTCGTTCAAAGTGGGTATAATAAACGCTTATGACAGGAGGCTGCTCTGCGTGTAATACAATCTCCTACACGTAGGATGTCACATCATTACTAGTGCCACATAGGAAAATAAACTATTGACTTTATCTTCAATTTTTTTTTACCTACTCCATCATCTCTTCTCCTTATCACCAACAACTCCACTGCCATCGCCAGAAAATTCCTCCGGCCACCGGAGACACCATTAAAAGTCTTGTAGTGTACATTCAATTCTAAGAGTATTGTAGTGTCCTAATGAACTAACTTTGCTGCTCATGACATATACGCACAAAAAGAAACAGGAAAAAGAAAAAGCAAGATATGTTTACAATTGTTACAATTCCAGTTATTCCACTTCCCAGTGTCTGTGTCCTCTCGCTTTGTCACTTGTTCCCCCAAAAAATTCCAAAAACGAAGTTGTATAAATGAAATAAAGTTACTATATAAATTTCCAAAAAAGAGAAAATTTGAACCATCGCACGTTGAGAAATCATTGAAATTAGACAAATAAGCTAATCAATTTAAATGATAAATTACCAACAAATATCCAATAGATTTATCAATAAAAGCAACCTTTATTTGCATAAATTTTGAAGACCACTTGATATAAACACTCTAATTGGCACTTCATTAAACAGGTAATCGAAGTAGAATCAGAGACATACATAGGGATTCAGCAAATCCCCAAAATCNAAAAAGATATAGAAATGGGAGATGGGTGGGAAACAACGGGAAAGGGGAAGGATAGAAAGAGAAAAAGAAATGGGGATGGGGGTGGGGGTGGGGGGAAAGAAGATAGAACAAAGGACAGAGATATTTTATTTTTTCTTATATTTTTTAGTCACTTGCTTTTACTTGTCTTTTTATTTCTTTCTTCTTATTTTAATTATTTTTAGTCTACCCTTTTTATGTTTACTCTCGTTATGCGCGTGAAATTCACTTATTTTGTTCAACTCGGTCATGAAGTTGCCACATAAGCTTGATCAACGGTAAGAGAGATTTAAAGTAATATATTTTGAAAATTACGAGTGTTTAAATGAAATTTCATAGAGTATCGG